TGCACAACTACAGCTACCATGCGTGTAACGCATACTATTGCATGAATAACTGTTCTTACAGTTCGTTATATTTATGTTTATGCATGCGTGTGCACTGTGTGTCCAGTTCAAGGTCAGTCAAAGGATTGCACAAAAATTGCATCGTACGCGCCGAGTTGCAATTTAAAAAAATCCCTTTGTTACCCGTTATTTGTTTTGGAAGCGTTTTCCGCTAACCGAACGCTCGTATACGATATGCGCTGCATTGCGGCAGTTCCTTGAAAGCATGTTGTGGTAAAGAACAACTCTTTCTATCTACATTCCGGTTTTTTCCTCTAAGGACATGCCAAGCAGTTTTTGTCTTTTTAGCGGAAAAGTGAAAGTATGCAATTAAGAAAGGCTACAGAAAAGAGTTAAGCAGTCTATGGACAGTGGGTACTTGCTTAGGGTTTGAAGGACTTTAGCGCGAAATGCAGAAAGAGTTAAAATTGCACTGAAGCTTCTAAAGAAATGGTAAATACATATGGCGTGACTGACGCATATGTTGAGAATAATATTTGTTTTTGTTCGCTGCGAAATTCGAAATCGTCTTATACATGCTCTTTTGCCGTTGCTCTGACAGAAAACTGGAATATTCGTAATATGGTTCATTTTTTTTTAAAGCTTTCAAAGACTTCATGATTTTTTGGAATTTGTAGAACTTTTTTTGAATTCTCTTCAGAAACTTAGCTTTCGTCTTCCTATTATAAATTTAATATTCAATTGGAGCTCTCTCCACTTGAGACTAACAAAGGACTTAAGTATAAATTTGGTCTGAATAAATAAAAAAAAAAGCGTTCGACCCACCTTAGCAAACTTTGTTCCACAATGAATAGAAGGAATCAATGTATCATCCATACTCTCTTGTACTTTCTTTATCTTTTCTGAGTTAGCCTCCAGTAAAGAAAATGTTAAAAATTGCAATATTTGCAATGAAATCCATTTCATTGCAAAAGGTTGTAGGACCCTAAAACTATTTTACAGTTTCAGCTCATTTTTGGAAGTCGACTAGATTGTTGAACAATTTCAACGCCATAATCATAAATTCTGACTCTTAAAATCGCAGTAATACATTTGTTGAATGTGGAGTCTTCAACTACGTTGTCCACCATTACTATTGCCAGTTGACAGGCCTTGACCGCATAAAAATCCTTGTCCATTCCGGTTACGTAAACCCTACTGTCATGGAAATGTGCTTCATATCCAAATCCATAACCAAAACATGTTCAGTCTATCCATAAAAGATTTTTACATCTTATACTATCTCTCTGTTGCCTACACGAAGATTTTCGGGTACTTTTCTCTAACTTTTTCGTAGTGGAAATGCGCTTCATAGCGAAAACCTTAACCACAACATGTCCAGTCGATCCATAAAAGATTTTTACATCTTATGCTATCTCTCTGGTGCCTAAATGACTTTCTGCCACTCAAATACTTGTATTTGTGTTAAAAAAATTACAGTCCGAGTCAAATTTGATCAGGGGTACACTTTCAAAGTTTTTTGCAACGCAAGATTGCTTGGTTTAGCAAAGTTCCGCACCAATCAATTCGAGTGCTAGTCGCGTGGTAGCTACAATCATTTCAGACTTTTACGCAATAACTCCTTAGCGATTAACCAACTTTTTATTAATAAATTAACTGTATGCAATATCAACTTCGTGCTCGTTCGTGTTTGCGAAGTTCGGTGCATACAATTAGCTACGGTGTGAAAGGATTTGCATATGTCCACATGCACTGTGCGTCCAAACCATGCTGCTGCAGTCGTATTGCAAAGAAAATTCGTCACAGTTCATTATGTCGTAAGATCATCGGATCCGCAACAACGTAATATAGATGGTACGCAGCAGCATTTGCCTTGCTACAGGAGGCGTGCCGCAACACTATCACCCTCAAAGGATTTGTCGTAGAATGGCGTGCACAAAACTGCAGGAAAGGATTCGCATTTCGTGGCAACACGATTTGTGCAGTACGAAAATTCCACAGGGAAGAGGCGGTAGCTAGCGTTTGACCTTACAAGCTATAAGTCGCTGAACTTCTACGAAGACTCATGTGCCCCTACTCTGCCTGTCGCTGGCCGAAAATTAAAATAACTAAATGCACTAAACGCTCAAGTTAATTGTGAGGACTCTGCAGTAGTTAACTAGAGCAAAGTAGGCGCGTGATCTTTGTGTTGCAAACAAAAGTAGAACAGAAAATTTACTGTAGCACATTATAGCGGGCGCATTGTTGCCAGGACCTTGACTAGGTAGTCGCGCGCTCGTATGTAGAGCAAAAAATGAGAGCACACTCACAAAGGTTCAGTTATTATAATCGTGAAAAAAAGTCGATTGCATATTAACTTAGATTGTTCGGCGCGAACTAAAGCATGTTGCGCGCTTATGAGTGTGTTTTGTATATATGCAAAGCAGACGAACAATGACATTGGAGGAATGGATTTGTTTGAGGCGTAAAAATCTTGTGACTAATATTTCTAGGAGCAACAAACCAAGTCCCACTATTTTAAAAATAATCCTTACATTATTATCACAAGTTGTACACTGTGCGCTGAGTACGAATTTTGTGTTTAGGGCAGCGAGCAAACAGTTTTAAAAAGTAACTGAGCTCGTTTAGAGTGTTTGCAATCATATAAAAACAAATTCTTTGATGTTTTTCGGAGTATCAGCTCCATTTGTGAGGAGAGTTTTGTGATACGGCGAACAATTTAAACTACTTCATGTTTATTTCAATTAAAAAAAGATGTCCACAGATTTTTCTGCTACTCAGGAAGATCAACTAAGCTTATCCATCTTCTATGCTATGTCTGCAAAGCCTAAAAACCTTAAATAAGCTAATAATCTTCATCTCGTTTTTTGTAAGCATCAAAGAAAACTGATGCGACTTTTATTATTGAAAGAGGTGCTGTTAAGATTTTTGCTAAATCTACTTCTTCAAATCGAAGTACATACATATGTTGCAATAAACCTTTTAGTATTTTCTTAAGGAGCACACCTAGTGTGAAAGCTCCAAAGCATTTTTTTTTTTGCAGATATTAATATTATATACCTTTAAAAATAACATATATTAAAATTAAAGCAATATTTCAGAAAGTTTTTAGTTACAGCTTTATAAACTGTAGTCGCTCAGCTCTATTAGACTATCTTGAAAGAAGTTCATGTATAAACACTTCATTCCCTCTATTCATTTATGCAATTATCGTGAAAGCGTCGTGTTTGCATATACTTTCACAAGCTTTCATAAGCTTTCGAACCTTTTTTGCTTGGGAAGACTCTCAGTTCTATCAGCTCTCTTAGTCTGTCTTGAAAGAAATTCATGTATAAAAAGTTCCTTCCCTATTCACTTCTACAATTCTCGTAAAAGCGCTATGTTGGCTTATACTCTCACAAGCATTCATAAGCTTTCGAAGCTTTTTTGTTTGGGAAAGTGAAAGCTTGGGTTTTGTTAATGAAAAGCATAATTGCTAATCATCTTATGATTTTGCACTCAATATTTACTGTGACAATGAAATTTTATACGCTATAGACGAACCCACAAAAGCTTACCCTACTTGGCTTTTTTGTTCTGTAAAAGTTAGCAGTTAAAGTGAGGTTCAATTGCAGTAACCAGCTTAAGCTTGGCTTATCCAAAATCGCTTGGTTTTTGTTTCTCTATTGGTTTTAGTTGTAAGTATTGCAGAGCTTCAAAATTTTTTAGACAATGTAATACTTAAGCGTTAGAATTTCACCCAAGGAAAATAAAAAAAATTAAAAGGTTTGAAATTTTCACTTTTCTTTTTTGAAATTCTCACATTTTTTTTTTAAATTTTTTTAAATTTCAATTAATTTTATTCATGCATTCATGTATAACATTGCATACGGTTTCAGCCAGTTTTTCAAAGTCAAAAGAGTTGAAATTAAAAAAAAGTCTTTTTGGAGATATTATTAAAAGGCTGCTAATAAAAATACAAAAAAAATCTAAAATCAAAAAAAGTTGAAATTTTCATAAAAAAACTTTTCTTATAATTAAGTTTAATATAAAAATCTACATATGTAAGAATTTTCGAAATTTTTAAAAATAAATATAATATGAAATAATAAAATTCTTTGACATTTTTAAAAATCTTAAAATTTAAACCCCTTAAATACGCAAAACTGGCATTTACGCCATCGTTGCATTAATTTTTTCCGAATTCCCGCAAAGACTTTAGACAACTTCACAGCATCGCCCATTGCGGCAAATACATACATACATGCATTATGTATTCGTTTAGTATATAATATTTTGTGAATTTCCCTAATAAAATATCGAATTCGAAGGGTTATTCATTTTACTTTTTCGGGGTTGCAAAGTGTGTGAGAAAGTGTTTTGCCAAAGAATCGATGCAAACGCCATACAAAGTACCGCTATTAAGGGTGAAAGGGTTCGCTGCCACTACAACGACCATTTAACCAAAAGCAAAATCGGAAACAGGTCATATACAAACGACAATACGGGAGTGGAGAGCCGCTATTTCAATCATTTCCTGTACAACAAATATGCTTGCAATGTTAAAGTACCGTTTGTTATGCTATGTTGGAATTGCATTTGCAAACAATATTCATATGTTTGCTCATATTTTGAGCTAAGATTAAATACAATAAAATAGAGAGAGCGTATTACTCCTACCTGCCGGCTTAGAGCAGGAAAGGCAATGGCGCACGGAGCGTGAGTGCAACTGGGATGGCGAATTGTCATTGTCACAAGTCATTGTCATTGTGATAATCGTTTCGGCGGCGGCTATGGCAAACAAACAGAATACAGAATATGTGTAAGCCGTTGAATGGTTGGATGTGTACGGACGGACGGACGGACAAACTGCCTAGAGCAATACAAAAGGATAGGCGTATGATGTGGACAGACAGGCAAAGAGCCAGAGAGCGGTTATGGATGGAGAGTGCCGTGTATAAAAGCCTTGATGGACTGGGTGTGTAGAGTAGTTAGAAACTGACAGCAGTAGGAATTAGACATACAAAACTGTATATATAGTAAAAGTGCAAAGTTAGTCGTCCATAATTTTGAAAGAAAACTTCAGTAAAGATTTTTTTTTCAAAAACTGCCTATACCATATATTGCAGTGTTATTGAGAGAAGTCATATAAAAATGATGATACAGGAGAAACTCATTTCGGGACAATTCCTATTTGATTTGAAAAATGGTAAGCATCGGTTTGAGATTCAAAGAAACTGTAAAATGTAAAAAAAAAAATTAAATTGAAATCCTGAAATTTTTTTCATAAAAACGCATCAACTAATTACAAATCATTTTCTCAAATAGAACACAACAACTTGTTGCATTCAGCCACCGCACAGCACGCACGTCTCTCCGCACATCAGTCCTTCCTTTCACACTCTCAAGCCTTCAATCACAGCCTGCCGCTCACACAACATGCGCTTCACCAAACACACGGCGCTCTCCCAGCCGCTACAATTGAGCAGCTCGAACTCTACTCCGCCTACGCTTACCAACAACAGGCACAGCTGATTGGCAGCACCGCACAAGCGGAGTGCGCTAGCCGACACCAATCAGCAAGCGAGGTACTCGATCTCTCACGGCGCGATTCCGTTGAGACTGCATCGGTACGTAAAACACCTTCGCCTTATCATACGAACTCAAGCATCGATGCCGAATCGCCAGCGGGATCACCAATACACAGCCAACATCAGCAACAGCTGTTGCAACCTAATTTGCTTTACAACGCCCAACAACAAATGGGGCGTCTTGCGCCGCCGCTAGCATCCTTCTATCCAGCGTTTTATTCCTCAATCGGTCTCGCCAAAGAAGCCACTGCAGCAACCACGCCACCATTGGCAGCAGCAGTGACACCACCAGCATCAAACGCATCGCTTTACACCGCACATACACAGGCTTCACCAATCTCCAATAATTCCTTGGCTGTTGCGACCGCCGTTGCGGCTGCTGCCGCCGCTGCTAGCACAACGCCTAATAGCATGCTACACAATCTCAAAACTGAAGCAGATGTGCACATGACGCCACTCTCGCCCAGCTCCAGCCATGATGGACGCAGTAAATCGCCCGCAATGCAGTTGGCAAACGTTGCCCCCAACAATCCCACTACGCCAAACAGCAGCTCCGCATTGAACCCGCTGAAGTCTACGCGCCCCTTCAAGGCCTTCCCACGCGATCCGCTAGTTATAGCCGCCAATTTCGCCGCCACCGACGTGCTATTGGACAATCCGCGTGTCGAACGCTATACGGAATACCGTAAGCGCGTACTGGAGCAAATACACAACAGCAATGGTGGCGCGCGTACCATCACCAACCCAAAGATGCGTCGCATGAATTCACGGCGCAACAGTAACACCAGTAGCAATGCGCCTGAGGGCGCCAGCAGTGAGGGTGAGGAACGTCATGGCGCTGGCGCAGATGAGTCCAGCGATTGTGACTCCTCTTACACTGGCGGACAAGCGGATAAAGTGAGTTCTTCAGCGCATGCCAACAATGGTGAGGAAAATAATAATATCGGTGCTGGCAACAGCAGCAGCTCGGCCGGTGGACAAGTAAAGGATGCGGCTTACTATGAGCGCCGCCGCAAAAATAATGCTGCGGCTAAAAAGTCGCGCGATCGTCGACGCATAAAGGAGGATGAGATTGCCATACGCGCTGCCTACTTGGAACGTCAAAACATTGAATTGCTCTGCCAAATCGACGCACTAAAAGCGCAGCTAGCCGCTTTCACTTCAAAAGCCGTGAGCGCGTGAACGAGTTTAGCTCGGTCGTGATGGAAGAGAAGACAGGCAAGCAGGCAAAAGTAGCGTTCAACGTAGCCGCAAACTTAATCCAGTTTTTATTCATTAATAAATCCGCATTGAGGAGATCCAAAGTTGTTGTAGAAGTCTGATTAGTGAAATGATTACAAAAGAGGTTTATATGTTGTGATTCTAAGGTATACGAATTTTTAGAGCTAGTAATACAATTGTAAATAATATTGGTATTTTATAGATTAATTTTATTTTTGTAACTTAAAATAAAAATAAGTTTTTATATGGAAAACAACGCGCTTTTTTTTTTTTTAGATACTTATTTATCGAGCCTCTTGCGGTTTATTGTTGTTATTATATAGCGGCAGAATTCTGCCTCTGAAAGTCCTTGGCAGTGCCGGTTACGTAGACCCGACTGTCGTGGGAAAGGCTCCTTCCTGATTCTACCGATCTACCGCCTTAAACTATGGCTGAAAGATCAGAAGACATTATTGAATATACATACGTAGTAATTCGCCAATAGCTTTTACGAAGATACCTAACGCGAAACGTGTGAAGCACTAGAACCCTGTAGTACCTTCATACTATCCAAAAATTAAACCGGACATAAAGTAACCTAATTTGCTTGCTAGTTTCAATAATCTGTAGATTACTCCCTAGAACTCTAACTCATTTACCCGTCTGTCCATCTCGAATCTAGCAGAAGCACCTGCTTACTTTCTGAATTTACTAAGCCTATCTTTTGTATCGCTCACGAAGACGTGTTGCAAAGTATTAGACATAATGTTGCCTTGTTACCGGATAAAAGTTCAACGTAGCCGCAAACCTCTCCGGAAACGCCTTTAAAGGAGGTTGACTAGAATTGGACTAGACTACTGTGGAGAAGAAATTTATTTTTCCCAATGATTTTAGACCGAAAGAAAATCTTTATAGTCATCGGACTCAAAAATTAACCGACGAAGATGAAAAATAAGTGACAAAAACAGTATTACTGTACCCTATAAAGATTAGCCGTGTTTGATGTTTACTGTCATACAAACTGGCTGATTAAACTCATATCCCTGCTTGGAAAACTTTTTTATTTGACAAGCTATATTCAAGAAATTCGGTACAGATTATTGTCTAAGATACCGCTACAATTTCCGTACAAATCGTTCATATCGGATTACTATAGCATATAGCTGTCATACAAACTGACCGATCAAAAACAAAACAAAGATTTTTTTACAACCTTTTATACTACTGTGATCAAATTGAAAGGTGAATTTTTAATTTAAGTTAATCATGCTGCCACAGAAATTGATAATAAAAAATCTTACAAAATAATAATAATAAAAATGCAATAGTTTGATTGTTTTATAATTTTACATTTTTAATTTTTTTATATTTTTTCTCAATTTATTTAATCACTAAATTACGCTTAATTTTATACTTACTTCTTTCAAACATTTCTTTTAATTCAATTATTATTATTTTCACATACACAATTATTAATTTAAACTTTGTTGTAGTTTTAGTATTTTTAGCAACACTTTAAATTTAGCTTACAAATCTATAGTTAGTATTTCTTTCGCTAGCGCCTGTGGCTCTATATAATTGTGATCAAAGGAATTGAAAGAATTATAAATATAAAATATATACTTTAATTAATCCAAATTAATTACTCAATTAAATTGTACAATATGCACACATAAATGTAGCTTAGTGTGACATTTTGTGATTTCGGGCGCAATTTTTTTTAGAAAAATTTGAAGTTTTTTATTTATTTATTTTTTTGAACAATGCAACATATCTATCAATTCGTACTCAATTTTAATTTTTCAATTTTTTTTTACTTACTGTTCCTACCTTAATTTATTTCTTCATACATATATAGCTCATTTTTAATATTTCTTATTTACCGCTATTTTTCGTATCGTTTTGTTTAACTTATTTTTTATTTTTAATTAAATATTAAAATTTATTTTTATTATTCACTGATTTTAATACGCTTTGGATCACTCTTCTTCTAAAATCTAATTTTTAATATCAGAAAGAAATATTTATAACAATAATACAACAAATAATGTATAGTATGTGTGTGTGGTAAATAACTTGGTTTATCAGTAATTTTTCGTTCATTTGTTTCACTGTTTCTAAGAGTGTTTAGTTTTTTCTTGTATTGCTGGTCAAAGCCCTCCTAATTTTGCTAATCAGGGATCAATATTTTGTTTAGTTAAAAAGTGGTCTATGTAATTGATAATAATAAAATAATAGTAATAAAAACAAGAAACATAAATATATGCAATAAAGAAAAATCTTAAAAAAAAAATTAAAAAATCTATAAAAAAATATAAAAATAACTAAAAAAAAAAGTTTAAATTGTTGTACAAAATTTTTTAATAAAAATAAAATATATAACTGCTAAATATTAAAATTATATGCATGTATTGTACATATGTAAATAATAAAATAAAATATTATGACCCTAGCATACCCTAAAACAAATTTAAAAAAAATTATATTTTCATTACTAGCTTCTCTTTTTCGCTATAGAGCAGCAAAAGTAGGTTTAAAACTTTCGTGCTTGAAAAACTAAATTTCATTTGGTTTATACTAAGTATGTATATATGCATGTATATCAATTTAATTAAAACTATATAATATTTTTACACTATAATCTATTTTATTTGTATTTCCTGTTGGACGCTGTAGAAAAAAGGCTTGTGTATAAATATATACAAACAACAAATCGCTCACATGATGCACATATTTACTTATGTAACTGTTTTATTATTATTTTTTCTTTTTTATATTTTTTTTTTTGGAGTCTGTTTAGAATCATAAATAAAAGTTAAGTGTTTACACCATTTATTTTTTTTAAATATTATGTATCAAGTTTTATTAATCGTAATAATAATCTTTTACATAATAATATATAAAGTTTTATAATAAAACTAGTTTACTACTACTAGCACACATTTACACTGTTGATATTTGCATGCTTTAGATTTTTGTAAATTTTATTTTTTTACATTAATAAATTTTAATATTTCAATTATAGTGAATTCCGCTCCTCTGCTTACATACACAATGAAGAAAGGTGTTTGCAGTTTTCAATTTTATTTCTTTATTGATTTTTATGTACAAGGCTTTCTTTAAATTACTATTGTATTTCTTCTTAACTATTACTGCAGATTATGCCATTTTCCCATTAAAATTTTAAACAAAATTGCAACGGTTGCATGTTGGTGTGCTTGGTTGTGGTGTAGTTGGCTATCAAAACGTTATATTTCTTTCACATATTTCTTTCATATAGCTTTTTTTTGTTTTGCAATAACGGTGTAAATACAATATTTTATATTTTTACGAATGCTTAAAAATAAACCATTTTTGAAATCCATAAAAAAAAACGTGATAAAAATCAGAAATAAAAATT